ATCTCAACCCAATAGAGCATCTTTGGGATGTGGTGGAACAGGAGCTTCGTGCCCTGGATGTGCATCCCACAAATCTCCATCAACTGCAAGATGCTATCCTATCAATATGGGCCAACATTTCTAAAGAATGCTTTCAGCACCTTGTTGAATCAACGCCACGTAGAATTAAGGCAGTTCTGAAGGCGAAAGGGGTCAAACACAGTATTACTATGGTGTTCCTAATAATCCTTTAGGTGAGTGTAATTATCACATTACTATATTCTCAGCATGTCCATTATTACAGCATAATACATGAAAAATCCTTCAATCCAACATTTGCTTCAAAATCATTAAGACTTTATAGGTCTGTTTGCAAAAGAATATTGAGAGGATACAAAAGTATTCATAGAAGGATAAATCAACATCCTAATAAATGGAATAATACAGCAAACAATAAATGCAAGGATCAACAGGATAACTCCTATTGGTTTCCATTACACGAGAGTAGATGTTAAAACGTCATGCTGATTTATACTTGGCTTTCGCAAGGTAAGCAAAACTAAGACGTAGCTTTACAGTAAACTATGCTTCTCCATCCATTTACGCTTCTTTACGTATGGTGGTGTGACTCCCCTTCTGTCCGGCGTTAACGGCTGCAGTGCGCTTGCCGCGTCAGCACACACGACGGCTGCAACTACAGTGTGGTCTCCCTAGTGGACCAACACGACAACCGTCTGGATTGAGCCGAGTAGGGGACATCTCTAGGGTCTTCAAGTGGGCACCTTCCTTCCTCAGTGTTTCGTCGACTAGCCCACGACACCTCAAGAGGACTCGACAGTGACCCTGGTGTCCCAGAGTCACCCCCTCCGTCCCCCACTCAACTCAGCTCAGCCCCGCTTACTGACCTCTACAGAGACCTAACCACAATCTCGCGCAACTCAACCATACGCGCCAACCCGTTTCATTAAGGCTGTCGAACCCCACTGGTGCGTTATAATGCAGTTTCAGTGGCAAACGGTTCAGTATGGCATACCAACAATATCTAGCCAACCACCGTCATTCAAATATACACAGGAACGTAATGACTGTAATTTCAGTGCAACCTATACAAACAGACTCTTCAAGAATTTTACGAAAGCGTAGCGTGGCGGCCTGTACTTAGCCAGCTACAATCTTTCCGTCTCAACCACAGCCAACTTTTCTTGAAAATATTTAGCTATTAGATCTATTTAAATGCTTGAGTTTGTTTTCAAATTATAATAATATAATATGTAAACAAATTGAAGCATTTAAACTGATATCAATGGCAGGATGACGTGACATGGCAGTTTTTGCTGTCTTCAGTGTCAAACATATATGAAAAAAAATATATATTTGCCAAAAACCTTCTCAATATTGTGCAGAACATTGTGCTTTATGTGAACAAATTCAACGTTAAAACAGTTCATCACTCATTTTTTTCAGAATTTCCAACCAAACATAACAAAAGTCTTATGGTGTGACTGTAACTTAAATAAAAAATAATAATAATAATAAAAATTGCGATTTTCTCAGTTTTTTTCTTTTTGTTCGTTCCAATGGTCAGACAAGTGTTTATAATTGATTCCAGAAAAAAATGTAAAAATATAAAACATTCTTCCTAGTTCAGATTTCATTCGTGTGAACATCATACGCAGCATAGCAGATGATTTTAAAACTAGCCGTTCATTCATAAATATGGAAAAACACTGTGAAAATACAGACCGGAAGACGGAAGCACTGAAAAGGGGTGGGGCCACAGAAGGTCTCTAGCTAGCATGTTGTTAGTATGCTAATGTGTAGCTACAAGACTCAAGGTTGTGCTAAGTGCAGAAAACATCATATGGTGTGACACTTCATCATATGGTGTGACGTGTCTGCCTGTCATGCCATATGATTTGATTGTCACACCATATGATATGAATTGTAATTCCCTGCATATGTAACAATAAATAACATAGTCCAATGTGTTTTGTCCTTTTAAACATTTATTCAGGTCCATCATCACATAAAAGCTGTATATGATATATACAATACATGATAGCTAAAATATCATCACTGTAGGCAGTGCAACTAAGAGGAACACAGTTCGGAAACAAAGAGAATAAACAATGTTGAACAGCTGTTAAAATCCATCCATCCATCCAGGGCCGGATTAATCATTAGGGCAACTGGTCTCTTCCCATCTAAGGGGCCCTGGGCACCGTCAAATATTATGTTAGATCACGTTATAAACGCAGTCCTCACTTTCCTAATTATATGCAGATTTTTGCAACCCATTCGATCAAAATATAATGTTAAATCACATCAAAAACAGTGTCTGTAGCTTCCTGTGCAGTGAGCGAGAGTGAGCTGTCATGTCGAGTCGCGTGACGCTCTGAAATTTGAAATCGGTGGGAAGATGGAGAAGCAGTTGCCTATGGTGTCCTAACATAAAGGTCTCGACTGTCTAGCGGGATATTTTGCCAACAAACTCAAATTGAATCTGGACAAAAGTATTGTATAGGACAAAAGTATTGTAATTTTCATATACTGTGTAATTTAATGCAATATACTAGCTATATGGATTTTACGTCATAGGAATAATTATATAAATCATTATTATAATAATTGTTTGGTATCCTGATAATGTAATGTAGACTGAGACTCTATCATAATAACTAATAGATGTTGGAGCCGTCTTTAATGTCCAGGCAAGTCAATGCATTTGGTTCATTCAACGAACGAATCGAACGAATTGACTCGGATTTGTTCATTTTGATGAACGAGTTTGAACAGGAGAGTCATGAACGCACATCACAGAGCAAGGCGAGCATTTGAGCTTATAAAACTTAAACTTTGTTAATTTATTAAAAGAGCGATCGTTTCGCTTGATAAGACCCTTATTCATCGTCTGGTGTCGTTTAAAGCCCTTTGAACAGTTTGAAGTGTCTTTTGGACCTTGAACCATTTGGTTCCCATTGAAGTCCATTATATGGAGAAAATCCTGGAATGTTTTCATCAAAAACCTTAATTTCTTTTCGACTGAAGAAAGAAACACATGGACATCTTGGATGACGGGGGTGAGTAAATTATCAGCAAAAGTTTTTTCAAAAGTGAACTACATGCTGGAGGTATTGGTCTGAAGGGGCCAACACGACAACATCATCCGCAAAGAGCAGAGACGAAATCACGTGGTCCCCAAACCTGACACCCTCCGGCCCCTGGCTGCGCCTAGAAATTCTGTCCATAAAAATCATGAACAGAACCGGATCCGAGGCCATGGTCCTCAGTCGGAAAAGGGTCGCTTGCCCACTTCAGGTTGGTGGAGAGCTGTTAATATGTTGTTGTTTTTTTCAAATTAAAAAAAAATTGTACTTATATATAATTGTTATAATTGTTTGTTTTACTTATATTAATACATATTGCAGACCAGTTTTGAATTGAAATGAAATTTGATACACAAACATGTTCATATGGTTCATACAATATTTTAAAAATGTTTGTTTTATTGTTAAATATCAAATAAATCAATAAAATTTGAATATTACCGTTCAGCAGTTAAGTGGTTAAATATTTCCTGCCACATGAGTGATCAGTACTCACCAATAAGTAATAATACATGGTTTGCATTGACACATGGTAATATCATTCGGTGTGACATTCCAAATTGTGAAAATAACACCTTTATTAATAATAAAACCTGAAAATATTCATGGAATACATAGAAAATAGTAGCAGCAAGAGTCACAAATATTTTTATAATTTTCTAGCAAGGTTTAATAAATAGAAATATGTTGAAAGACCGACCGCAGGTCTCACGTTTAGCAATGTTTTAGAAAATAATACACAATTTAATTAATTTTCACAAAACTATTGTAAGACTGGAAAACTGGTTAAAGAGAAAATATCTGACCAGTGGCCTCTAAAGACAAAAGGCATTGCTTGCAAATTAACATTTGACACCCTACCCCCTTTTCTCTGCATATCTTATCTGCATCTTCTCTCTTTCACTCTCTTAGTCAATGATACTGAAAACTCACACAAGAATATGGTTTTAATGTGAATCTGATAATCTTTAAGGATTGTTTAGAATCATTTTGATGGTCTCAGGGTGACTGGTAATAATGTCTCATTTCCAAAGAAGTTAAAGAAAAGGTAATAAGGTTTTTAATAATATATAAATATCTTGCACACAAAAGGGTGTGTCTTTGAGTTAATTACCTTCTACCTTTTGTCTGAATGCAAAACTCTCCTTCCCCCAGTAAGACTGGTGGGGGGGATTTAGCCCATTGTATCCTGGTGATTTACATATCAGGTGAGGTCTGATTATAAAGGGGGAGGCAACAAGAGTTCGGGGCTTTTCTGTATTCAGATCAGCCCGTGATGTTGTGTCTTCAAGACTCAGCTCATGTAATATGTTGGGTAAAGTTCCTTTGTCCTAAAACAATTGATGGTTTGCTCTGATTATCTTGTGGAATTCTAATGATACATTTACCTGACATAATAAATTGTTATATTTGGCTATTCTAACAGACTTTGACTTTATTTTCATTAGAGTTAAAAGTAATAGTCAAGCATTAACATATTTAATGATGCACAGATATCATTGATAAACCCTTTTCATTTTATGGAGTCAGATGAAACGAGTTAATACATAAGATTAAATGTATTGCATTTAATTAAAATTCACTTTGCTTGGAAAAGACGGAACACGCATGAAACCTTCACCACGAATCGAACCCCGCCATTTGGATCGATTTCGTGGCCCTTTTTACACTATAATGGATCACAGTTTAGTTATGATAAATGACTTTGATAAAGTAACTTAAGAAAGGTATAATCCATTTTCAGTTTATATACAATTATTTTCATGTCACACCATATGACGATTGTACGCACTAATATAACAAATTGTCACATAAATTCTGATTCCAACTGAAAATTTTGAAACATGTTTCTATAAAGATGAGAGTTAGTAGAACAAGTCAACCATTTTTATGGCTGTTTGAATTTTTTGAAAAAACAAACAAACACTTTTTTATGATATGTCAAAAATTCTTCAATTTGTTCTTTTTAATTTATATTATATTAGTCCTATATTTTATTATAATATCAGCATAAATAAAGAATCTCACAAAGGTATTGTTTAGGGCTCATCGCCATTAAAATGTTTGAAACCTGCTGCTAAAGAAAATATTGGAAATTCATAAGCAATAAACAATCATTTAACTTAGATGGTTTAATGCTTCTTGTACACAATTCATTGATTTTAATAATTATTTTTCATAGTATTTCTTGGTAAAGACTGTACAGTTAACAGCGCTGGAAACAAAATATCAGATAACCTAAAATGTGCTTCATTTATAGTGACTTCTTAATTAACTGCTTGTTTTTCACAAATATAAGTCAAATAAAATAGAAATGGCATATTCAAGTTAAAAGTTACAACTGAATGTTGACACCATTGTGTTTCTACGTATGCTGTACAGGTATAGGAACAGGTCAGGTATAAAGAATATTTTTGCTCAGGTGGTAAAAATGTCCACGCAATAGAAAAAAGTTTTGCTCAGCAAAAAAAAAAAAACAATTAGAGGGAACATTGCACTAAAATGTTATAAATTTTACAAAACTTTACAAATTTATAATCATAGCATAAATTAACAAGCCAAACAACTTTATACAATTTAATTTTATACAATCAGTGTCACATGATCAATATGAAGCACATCTAAAATGCAAATAAACCATACACTCTAAAAAATCATTCTGCCCTAAAGTATTACATTTGGACAAAACATCAACATCGTAAAACTCTGTAAAGCTGCTGGAAAAACATGATAGAAACAAATCGACACACTGTATACAAATTGAAACTATTATGATTACAATGCATGTAAATGAGTTTAGAGTTGTTTGGTGTCTTTATTTCCATCCACAGCTCAATGCTGATTTTAATTTCTCGAACCTGCGCTCCAAATCTGTAACATTAATACCAACCCAGGGCCTTAGAAATGGAGAGACAAGAGATAAATCATGAAATATGAACAAGCTGACCTGTAGGATAGGATCAACATTTAGTATTCAATGTTCAAGTGAAATTGTATAAATCATAAGAACACTTTTGTCTTACTGACTCGTGTCATATCTCGTTCTCATCACATTTTTTTATTGGTTGATTCTAAGTGTTAATCTCAGTCTTAACTTACGTTTGCGTCATGGAAAAGCCCTGGTCATTCAGAAGAATCTCCACGATGTGGCCGCAGTCACCGTCACGGATAGTCCGACTGTTATCATATGTGCATTTATGAGACGTGTTATTACAAATGAACCTTCATAATCAGAAAGCACTTAAGAGTCTTTAACAAACCTGATATTATTATTTGCTTTTAATTGACTTTAATTATTGTTATAACAATAGTGTGAGAAACAGGCCAACATTTAAGTTATTGAATTGTAATGAACTATGAGATCTAGGGTGGATTTAAAGAAAACAAATTATGAATAAAAATTCCCAAACTATTGATTTGTTCCTTACAAAAATGTATAATGTGACTCCAGAAAACATGGACTGTGCCTCAAAAGTCGTTCTTTTCTGGTGTTTTTGTCTTTTTAAAGATTGTAAACTGAACTCACCATGAAATTGCATGAAAAATCTGTATAATGATAAACCAATACAAACCCGCTAAATGTCATCACACAACCTGGTCTTGTGTTTGAGCTCTTCAAGATCTCGATTGCATCCTTCTGTAATAAGCGAGCCTTTACCCTAGATGCGGAAACACATTATACAGATACAATTAATAATATTGATAATGTCATTCTTCATTTAAACTTTTCCATAACAGTTTAAACAGATGAAGGCCATGAACTACAGATGGGCGGATTCATTTGCTTTGTAAGATTATCTGATATAGCAACAGCATTGCAAAATTGCTAAACTGCCAAAATAAATAAATAAATAAATGAATAAAATAACAATTATATATAACAACAATAAAGAAATACAGTAGTTCCTTTGTCTACTAAACCATTTTGTGTTTCTAAGGTTTTCAGTTCCTCAAAGGTGTGTGACTGTGTGATCAGTGTCATTAATTCATAGACTTTTATTGATTTAGTTCACTAAAAAATGTAACTCTGTCATGTCATTCATAACCTGTGTGTCTTTCTTTCTTCTGCAGAACACAGAAGAAGATATTTTTAATAATGCTGGTAATAAAACAGTTTTTATTTATTGTATTTCTTGTCCAAACAATGGAAGTCAATGGGATCTGAAAGTGTGTGTTAAACAAGCATTCGTTAAAATAACATCTTTTGCTCCTCAGAGGAAAGCAGGTTTGGAAAAACATGAGGGGGAGTAAATGATGACAGAATTCCCCTCTTTAGATGAACTATCCTCTGAATATTAAATACACAGTTCTCATCAACAGACACATTCACATAGAAACAGGACAGAGGAGATTTCAGATGTTTCTCACTTGAGTTTGGTTAGACTGGGGCAGTTCTGGATCATCTGGAGGATCTGAACAGAAAACTCCTTAGTTAGAGAATCCACCCTCATTTTCATCTTCTCCAGGTTAGAGAAGGAATGAAGAGCAGACAGGAATGCATTGAAATCACTTTGGTGAATTATCTGATAAAGTTTGGTCCAGTCGATGTTGATTGATGAGAGTGGAAAGGTGAGACTGAATGATAGCATATCCGGATGGTCAAACAGATCAAACTTTATCCAGATACTATTAAAAAACGAAATAAGAAACAATATTGTTGTTGTGTCTATAACTCAATCATTTATTGCTTAGAATATCGTTTTGTGATAAATGAAAAAAGATGATTAATTGGGTTTTTTTGTTCACCAGCCAATATTTGCAGTAGTCAAAAAAGATAAGTATACACCATATTTTTTTAACTGTTTTGGGAGACCAGTTTAGTTGCATTATTACTACTACAATTATAATCTATTATGTGTAGACCAAGGATGCCAGATAAACAGAAGAACAAGTTGATGATTTATTTGGTTATACAAAACATAGTAATCATATAATTATTTCTGGTTTTCATGAAAAAAAACTATTTGATGAAAAGAAAAAATTCAATTCTTCTTCACCTGGACGGCTCTTTGTTGATTGACAGAAGTGAGATGTCTTGACGTGATTGGAGATTTCTTTCACGAACACTGTAAATCAAAGCACAGAAAAAATATACATGAACCAAAAATTAAACAAGAGCACATTAAAGGATGATGCCACGTGTACATAAAACACACATCAAATGTATAATATATATATTAAAACATTACCGCTGTGAGCTCAGGATCCGTCCTCTCGTGAGAGTGTTGATCAGTTCAGTGAGATCAGAGTCTGATGGATCTTTTATAGACAAGCTTCAAAATCAAATCCAGAACATCACTGTACAGACTAATAAAGTTTAACTTACAATAGCAAATTAGAGATTAGATAATAATTACATCCATCAAATATCTGTTTTAGACCAATGGATTTACCTTGCTTCTTTAAACTTGTGAAGTTCAGGCAAAATCATAGACAGATCTTCCGATGTTAAATACAAAGAGATGTCTTCAATTCTCTGACAGCACTGACAGCAGTACAGCAGGGCACAGAAGTCTGCTCTACTGAGGAATTCATCTAGATCAATCCATTTCCAGATTCCCATTACTTCTTTCACAAAGTCTTCTTCATGAAGTTCATAGAGACAGTGAAGAATAAATTCTTCTCCCAGATACAAGAAAAAATCTTTAACATTTTCCAGAATCCATTCTTTCAGATGATCTTGTGTTTTTGGACGAATTAACAGACCATGTTCTTTAAGTGTGGATCTCACATCTTTATTTAACAAACCAAATGCAAATTGCACCACAGCTGAAAAACGTGGTTTTGAGAACTCATCCATTAAACGTTTCCCCAGGGGTTTTTCTTCATCCAGAAAGACATAGTACAGAGCAGTGAAGAACTCCTGAAAGCTGAGATGCATGAAACTGAACATCGTCTCCTGGTGGATTCGTCTCTTAAACAGGAACTTGCACAAGAATGGATTTCCAGCCGGGTCTGAAATGGTTTCATTCACACTTTCCTCATCCAGCAGGACTTGCCGTTCCTGCATCCCTCTCTCTGCCAGCTGACCCAGACTCCTCAGCAGGGTCGGGACGGACTGACTCAAACCCTGGCAGTGATGCTCCAGAAGAGTGCACACAAAGTCCACGTAGATGGAGGTGGTGGTTTCCAGTCCGCTTGTCTTATCTGCTCCATCTTTGAATCGCTCCTGGATAGTTGTGCAGATGATCCAGCAGACGACAGGGATTGAGCAGGCAGTGATGAGGGTTTCATTTCCCTTCACATATGTATAAGCCTTCCTGAAACGTTCCTCATTTCGAAAAAACTTCTGGAAGTACTCCTCCACCCCCTTTTCTGAAAATCCCACAATCTCAGAGAAACGCTGAGGTCCGTTGAGCAGTTTACTGAGTGTGTCCGTAGCTGTAGATCTGGAGGAGACCAGCAGGAAAGACTCTGGCAGGATTCGACGCCTCAGCAGGGCACAAAGAGTGTCCACAGGTCGGGCTTTCTGAAGCAGATCAGTGTGTGCTGACGTGTCATTATTAATGTCCTGTGGGAGTTTCAGCTCATCAAATCCATCAATGACCACAAGCACCTTCTCTGGCGACTGCTGTAAAATCTGTGAGATCTCAGGTGATGTTAAACTACAACTGCAGCTCAAGATCTCCACCAAACTCTTCTCGCCAGGAATGCGATTTATTTCTTTACACTTTAAGTGGAACACAATATCAAACCGCTCTTTGTAGAGGTCACCAGATGCCCAGTCCATCATGATCTTCTGCACAGTGAAAGATTTCCCGTTTCCAGAGTTTCCCTGCAGTATCACAGAACTGGGACTGATCCCGTGGTCATCTGGGTCAAACAGAGAGTTGAGATGGAGAGAGCCTCCACTGCTCCTGGAGCCGAGGACCTGCTGGAAGTGCTCTCCACTGGAGCGGATCTCTTCTTCTCGCTCTATTCGATCTCTATTTTTCTGAAGGATCAGAGGTTGTGTGAAACGCTCAGACATCAGCACACGTTCACCAGGCAGTGAGTTATACTCAGTCACAAACCGATACTCGCTGCAGATCCGCTTCTTATATTTGTCAATCACTGTGCTGATTTCTGTAGAAACAGTCAATGTTAGAAGAGTTATTTTTTTCTGATTATAATACAGTAAGAGCAGGCAAAAAAAAAAAAAAAGATTAAAATGTTATAAAAATGTTACAAAAATAAACAAGAATGCTTTATCTCAGCTTAAAAAAAAAAAAAAAGCAGGCAAATCGACCCCTCTTCAGTTAGTAAACATGGTGAGGTTTTTTGTGGGCGGAGCTTAGGTGGAGGCAGAACGATCCCTCTGGTCATTAATCATAGATTTTGACTTCTTGCTCTCAGTAGTACTTAATAAGAAAGACATTTCCCATGCCCTGGAAATGTACATTTCTATTAATTAATTAATAACCAATATTGAGTGTTCACGGGATCAGCGAGTAATTGGTTGTAATGTTCATGTAGCTACATCAAGTTAACCCGATTAACTGATCCAAATATTCATAATCGATTATATCAAGTTATGATTGATTATTAATATTTCATAGAGCTAATTCGTGACAATATTTTCTAGAAATAAAAATTACAGATTCAGCATATTCATTTTTCATTGATTCTAGCACCCAACAAGGTGACATTTAATAATAGAACTAATTTAAGCTCCTTATGTATCCGAATCTGTGCTGGTTTGTACTGGCCGCCTCCAGTTTCCTCTTTTGTTTTGCCTCCAGCTAGCGCCATGACGTAACTGTGACGTCTGCGTAAAAGGGGTCTATACCAACTAAATTACGAGGTCGATCGTCGATGGAGTGCAAGATTTAAAACATTATTATAAATTCATCACTCACCTGCGGGATGTGCTCTTATAAAGCATGTGTGATGCCCTGTGGATTCTGTAGAACATCAGACACACTTGATTAACATTTCACATATATTTTCATACATTTTACATCAATCCATCTATCTCAATATCTATCTCGCTGTCTGTCCATCTATCTGTCTATTGCTGTACAAATGTATTAGACCACCACCCAATGTAAGGTTTGTCCACAACTGTCCTAAACATTTTTTGAGATGGGAATGAACAGACGGCACATCCTTGAAAACACTCATTAAGTACTCATAAAGTCTATCCATAAGTGGAAGTTAGTTAGTTTTGCATTTTTAGGGCCCAAGCCCTGAAGGGGCGAAGGCCCTATTGTTTTCCTTGGGATTATTAGGGCCCAAGCCCTGAAGGGGCGAAGGCCCTATTGTTTTCCTTGGGATTATTTATTATTAGGGCCCAAGCCCTGAAAGGGCGAAGGCCCTATTGTTTTCCTAAGGATTATTAGGGCCCAAGCCCTGAAAGGGCGAAGGCCCTATTGTTTTCCTTGGGATTATTTTTCTTTACTATTATTATTAGGGCCCAAGCCCTGAAAGGGCGAAGGCCCTATTGTTTTCCTTGGGATTATTTTTCTTTAGTATTATTATTTTACTACCTTTTTGGCACTTTTGGAGCCCTTAACATGCTCAAAAACTCTTGAAACTTTGCACACGGGTCAGAACCCGCGGCCATCAGAGCCGGGCTGAAGCTGGTACCTGGGCGTGGCAGGGGGGCTCGTCAGCGCCCCCTGGAACGGGGTCCGAACACTCGGTCCATAACTCAAACACGCTTGCATGTAATAATATGAAACTCGGTACACATGTTGATCTCATCGTTTCATCTATACCTCGCGCTCTTACTTTTTACCCCAGCCCAACAGGAAGTCGGCTATTGAGGTTTGTTTGTAAAACGCTCGCAATGGTATTTGAAATACTCCTCCTAGAGCTTTGATCCAAATTCGACGAAACTCGGTCAGCGTGAAGTCAAGACATTGAGGATGAAAGTTTGCGAGGGGATTTTTGATATCTCGAACGGTTTGTCCGTGGCGAGGAAACGAAATCATGGCGAGAAACGTGAAACAGGAAGTGTGTTATAACTTCAGCATACATTAACTGATCTTGATGAAACTTCAGCAGTGTGTTCGCTGTAAGAGGACGATCACATGGATGTGACTATTGTGAGTCAAAAATATAGCGCCACCAACTGGCAGCAGGAAGTGTGTCACTTTCAAAATGCTTTGAAATCACCCTTTTATTTTTACCCGATTTGCTTCAAACTTCATCTGTATAATGTAAACATAGGGCAGATGTAGACCTGTGAATGGATTCTTGATATCTTTGAAACTGTTGCCGTGGCGACGCATCAAACTTTACCATTCTTTTAGGATGCTTTTGAGACCCTTAGCATGCTTTAAATCGCATGAAACTCGACAGACACATCACATTTATTAGCCAGTAGACATGTGCAAAGTTGCAGAAACGGGCGTGGTGAGGGCTCAGTAGCGCCACCTTTTGACAAAAGTGGGGTTGTTGGTTTTATCTACAGTTACAAAAATCGGTATGTATATTGTACTCCTCGAGCCGGACAACTTTCTAATTGACACTCATTAGCTAGGACCCACAGAAAGTCAGATATGTTTGTTTGAATGTAGAGAAAATCTCAGAAATTTTCCAGTGTCTCAGTGTCCCTCTGTGTGAGTGAGAGGAGGGGCGCCTGTCAGGTTAATTTTAACCCTTTATTTGCTGTGTGCGACTTCTCTGGCATTTTCGGGGGCCTTAACATCCTCGAAAACTCTTGAAACTTTGCACACGGGTCAGAACCCATGGCCATCAGGGCCGGGCTGAAGCTGGTAACCGGGCGTGGCAGGGCGGCTCGACAGCGCCCCCTGGACTGGGATTCGAACATTTGACCATAAATCAAACACACTTGCATGAATTAATATGAAACTCGGTACAATTATAGATCACATCAGGCCAAACAACTTTCGTGCTCTAAGTTTTATGACAGTTCAAATGGAAGTTATTTATGAATTATGAATTATGGGTTGTTTGAATAATTGTCCTAGGAGAAATACATCAAATCACAATGCATGTGTTTACCAATCACAACCAAACTCGGTGTGCATGAAGTCAAGACATTGAGGATGCTCAATTCCGGACGGATTTTTGATATCTCGAACGGTCTGGCCGTGGCGAGGAAATTAATTTTATGACTAAAAAAGGACACATAAAGTGTGTTATAACTTTGCTCAATTTACCTACAGTTACAAAACTTACCACGTATATTGTTCTCGTCAAGCCGATCAACTTTCCAATTTAAAGTCATTCGCTCTGAGCAACAGAAAGTCAGATATTGTAGTTTGAATGGATTTATTTCCCCTGCGATTCTCTCTCTCTCTCTCTCTCTCTGTGTGTGTGTGTCTGTGTGGGGAGGGGAGGGCTGTTGTCTGTGTTTATGTGTGTGTGTGTGGCTGGCTGTGATTTTTCCTACAATCCTTGTCTCTAAGTCCTTGTCTTTTTGCATAACAATTTTGCATAACAATATTTTTAAATGACAAAAACCCCCATCTTTTAAATGTATAGTTTGCTTTAAATAAAAGTAAGATTGTATTTGTAATTGAAGTTGAATGAATTTAAAATTCATGTGCTATATTTCAATATATTTGTTTTCCTTAAGATTTTAAAACACTAACTTCATTATTATCTGAATTACAAATATTTGTTTCTGTATAAAATAATACTCTGACTAAAAACACATTTGATGTTTGTTTTGGTATTTTTATTTACATGTATTTATGTGTGTGTGTGTGTGTGTGTGTATATAAAGTGCAGGGTTTTTTTTAGATAAAGTAGAATTTCTATAACTATGTGTTGAACTAATAAATCACTCTTGTGTGTTAAACACAATCTACTTAATACAGACAACTTCATTATAAAGATAAATAACAAATCCAAAAAATATATGATTATAATCTATGACAAAAAAAGCCATTACAAACTATATTAATGGAAAATACACATTGCTCTTTGTATTGTTGTAAAATATTCATGAAAAACAAGATAACAAAAATCAAAAAGATAAATTATTTTAGATATAGCCATGTTTTAAATGTATAGCAGAGATGTTAATTGAGGCAGCAACATACAAACTTTCTAGAACAACATGGACCTGGATAGCTGGTTTTTATGGAGGACAGTGAAGAGGAAGAGGGTGCAAATCAAACAGCTCATTCTCAGACTACACAGCAAACAGCTTAAGTTTTTAGTGCTTTGTTTGAGGTTTTTAGTGCTCTGTCCTATCTATTATCAACATATAATAGATGGAACAGAACAAGAAAGGCAATTAATAATCTGTCATTGCGTCACTGCATTATGATATGAAAGGCTCAGTACAGTGTGGCACAAAACGCTTATGCGCATCCCGAGTGGAGAATGATGCGCTTAAAGCCACATGGAGTTACAGCGCATCGAGTCCGCATTGATGCAAGCTCTACAATACACTTCTTTTTGATAGTCAAAGCGGGGGTTACGTTTTTACACGTCGTACAGAATAAACCTAAAGGCACCAAGGTGGCGGTGCCACCGGCTTTATATTAAATATAAATATAGCTGTGAGCAGCGATAAAGGGCCAAAGCCGGCGGTACCACCATCCCGGTGCCTTTGGGTAACTAAAGGCATCAGGGTTGCGGTGCCACCGGCTTGGGCCCGCAATCGCTGCTCGCAGCTATATTTATAATTATTATTATTTTACTACCTTTTGGGCACTTTTGGGGCCCTTAACGTGCTCGAAAACTCTTGAAACTTTGCACACGGGTCAGAACCCGCGGCCATCAGAGCCGGGCTGAAGCTGGTACCCGGGCGTGGCAGGGGGGCTCGTCAGCGCCCCCTGGAACGGGGTCCAAACACTCGGTCCATAACTCAAACACGCTTGCATGTAATAATATGAAACTCGGTACAAATGTTGATCTCATCGTTTCATCTATACCTCGCGCTCTTACTTTTTACCCCAGCCCAACAGGAAGTCGGCTATTGAGGTTTGTTTGTAAAACGCTCGCAATGGTATTTGAAATACTCCTCCTAGAGCTTTGATCCACATTCGACGAAACTCGGTCAGCATGAAGTCAAGACATTGAGGATGAAAGTTTGCGAGGGGATTTTTGATATCTCGAACGGTTTGTCCGTGGCGAGGAAACGAAATCATGGCGAGAAACGTGAAACAGGAAGTGTGTTATAACCTCAGCATACATTAACTGATCTTGATGAAACTTCAGCAGTCTGTTTGCTGTAAGAGGACGATCACATGGATTTGACTATTGTGAGTCAAAGTTATAGCGCCACCAACTGGCAGCAGGAAGTGTGTCACTTTCAAAATGCTTTGATATCACCCTTTTATTTTTACCCGATTTGCTTCAAACTTCATATGTATAATGTAAACATACGGCAGATGTAGACCTGTGAATGGATTCTTGATATCTTTGAAACTGTTGCCGTGGCGACGCATAAAACTTTACCCTTCTTTTAGGATGCTTTTAGGATGCTTTTGAGACCCTTAGCATGCTTCAAAATGCATGAAACTCGACAGACACATCACATTTATTAGCCAGTAGACATGTGAAAAGTTTCAGAAACGGGCGTGGTGAGGGCTCAGTAGCGCCACCTTTTGACAAAAGTGGGGTTGTTAGTTTTAACTAGAGTTACAAAAATTGGTATGTATATTGTACTCCTCGAGTCGGACAACTTTCTAATTTACACTTATTAGCTAGGACCCACAGAAACTCAGATATTTTTGTTTGAATATGGTCACTCTGAGCCTATATGTCTCTGTGTCTCTGTCTTTGGCTGTCTGTGTGTGTGTGTGAGTGTGCAGGGGGAGGGGGCTTAACCATTTCACTGCTGTGTGTATGACCTGCATAAAGAAAATACATTTCTCAAGCCTGGTATTTTTTAAATAAGTTTTTATTTTTATTTTTTATAAGTAAAGGCATATAACTAGTTTAATTGTAGTGCATTGACAATAGTTTTATATAATTA